TTGTGTCTAACGAATTGGCATACGTGTGTTTTTGGTATGAACATTGAAAAGTATTATAAAAACTTTAATTATTGACACTTTTATAGATTTTAATTGTAAATTTTTTGAAATGAATTTAAAACGGTAATCCTAAGATTAAAAATGAATAATTCTCGCAAAATAAGTGTGTTTTATTGAAGTTAGGTCAAATAAGAAGGCGCCTGTTATGCCTTTCGTTTTGGTTGAAAAGATATGACCTGAAACCAAGAACGGAAAAGGACAAAGGCTCAACTCGACGCCCCGTGGTCCTGTAGGTGCATCCATGATATCATCTACCCATGTTTCTCTGCGTTATGCTTATGCTTCTCGTGCATACTTAAAAGATGCTCCCCGACCGAGTCCACTGACTGTTCCTCTCTTTCTCTCTTTCTTTTTCTCTTATTGTTAGTCGCAAAGTTAAAGGTAAACTCTAACGCCTGTGATCTACCGCTCTTAAGATCTGTCCTCGCTAAATTCCAACGCGAAATTCACCTTTCTTTCATCTTTTTCATATCTTCAGATTCTAACCTTTAACCTTTCTTTACAAAATGATACATATGTTACATAGCATAATATTTTCGTCAAATTTTTTAACATATGAATTTGTTTATTTTGGGATCGTGAAAATAATTGTGTTACGTTTAATCAACAAATATATTTTTTTAATTCTTCATTTGTTAATTTAATTATTCCGAAAGTTTCAAATTTCTACTATTTTTGGCCCTTTGTGTCTACATTTCACAAGTTTGCTTTGTAAAAACTATTTTGTTTATTATAAAATACGATTTATTTGTAAAAATTTGAAATTGAAAATAAAAATTACGAACATTTTGCGAGAAATGGCGCATACTTTCGAAACCCTTGGGTTAACCTAAAAATAAAATATAATATAAATATACAATAGGTAATTTTTATAAAATTATGATGTTATAATTCATACAAAATTTATATATTCTGCCAATATTTTATACAATGGCTCCAAAAAATATTTGGACACTTCAGTATGACAAACTATTTAGCCTTATATTTCGATTGTTTATAAAACAATCACCTCGGCGTTTATAAAATTTTAATTACATGTTATATGAGTTAACAATGCATCTAAAGTATCAATCTAATTTATCAATCCTAACCTTAAATCTCATTACTAAACATATTATTATTACCTTAATTAATTTTATTGTATACATCAATTGTAAATCAAAATTTGTTTCTATAAAGTATAAATTCTGAATAATAAAAAGCTTTGTTCGTTTCTTAACAAATTCCACAATAATAAATTTTATAATAAAGTACTTTAACACACGAGTTAGAAAGTAATCAGTTCTGTATAAAGAGATAGAGATCCTTTTGCTAAACATTGACATTGTTGATTGTATAGGAAAATACACTGTCAGTAAATATATATATATATGTATGTATGTATCTATATATATTCGTCCATAATTGGAGCGATTGTACGCACGACGATCGACGATCGTGATATAAAATACGCCGTATAAAGACGGCACTTTGGTGGGCTTCTTTAGCCGCTTTTTAGTCCGGGTACCTCTGGTGGTCTCGTTAGAACGACACTGGGAGGTCCGGAAGAGAAACGGCAATAACGTCGGTTTTACTTCTTACCGATCGTACCTGAAAAACTCGTGTGCTTCTTCGAGAACGCGATTCCACGTATATAATACTTTTCTCTTATTGTTAGATTACCGACGTTGCTAACATTTTGCCAACGTCCATCATCGAATCGAATGCTCAGCTTTGTACTTTAAGTATTGTATAAGTATAAATTTTATCTCTTTAGGTTCATCTCTGACACATTTCTTGCTATTTCGTTTTGTTTCATTTATTTTATTTTTAGGAAAATTTTTCAAAGTTAACAATTTATGTTATGCTGTTTAGTTTGAAGAGTTTATACTGATTTATTAAATGTAAGGGTGTTTTCTTATTGTATTTTCTTTGATACACAGTCAACATTTCTTTTTAGCATTGCATGTTGTATTAAAGTTGAATATATTGGATTATGGAATTTTCTTTCATCTAATTTAATATTTTGATTCAATATTTCAATAAAGAATTATGTTGTGTTTGGAAAAACACCCAAATTTTAATATTTGTTCGAAATAAAAATCTACTTAGCAATTTACTAGAAAAAGAAAAGATGTAGAAAAGAGAGATGGTCTCTTGACTTGGAACGTTTCGTTCGAGCAAAGTTATGGTCCTTTATGAGTTAAGAGATAAAGGGGGTTGGGGAAGGGAACTAAAAGCGCGAGTAGAACGCTCGAACCTTCCATGGTGAAAGAAACGAAGGAATAAGAGAGAAGCCCTATCGGTTCGTTTAATCTATCCATGGACTACCGTTTACCACGGCGCCCTTTAATGTCAAAGCCACAGGTGCTCTGTCCAACCCGTATAAGCTCATTTCTTTATACAGTTCTGAGAAACCAAGAGAAAAAATATATAAGTAATAGAAATAAAAATATTAAATAAGGAAATTTGCAATAGAAATAATAAAAGGTATTAAGTACTTACTTATTACTTAATGTGTTTGGCTTTCTCACAGCTTCAAAAGTAATCTTCGGTTAATACCTAGACTTAAAAGAGACTTCAAAAGGATTCAAAAAGATTATCGAGAAAAGACCTAAGAAATAAAATAAAAATCAAAGGAAAGTAGAAAGGAAGGGAAGGAAGGAAGAATGGATGGATGGAAGGAAGGACATAAAGGGATGTACAGGCATTACATATTATCATGCTCAGTGGTAAAAGGACTCCAGGAGTACGCGTGTCTCATGTCCAGGATCGTCACAAAGCGGCTCGTCCTAGTGCACACAAAGTCGAGGACTCGATCAACACTTCATGCCAAAGCGTTTATCTATCGTCGGTACTTCGAGATCGATGATGAAAGATAGAAAGTAGTGTATGGGTATATACATATATATATATATATATATATATATATATATATATATAATACGTGTGTGTGTATATATGTCTGAGAGAGAGAAGATAACTGCGAACAACGTTTGCCTTATCAGAGGGAAAAAATTTGCTAATATTTTTCAAAGTGATATTTTTCCCCTAGGATAAAATTTACAAAAGAATTCAGATAAAGTACAGTAACATCTAAAAATATTTAAAATGATACAAATTTATAGCAAAAAAAAAAATAATAATTCAAATAATTTACTAGTGGGATCTCTGGCAGGGACGTGGCGTAGCAAATCGACCTATCTATTCTAATTTTGAATTTAGCCACCAGACAGCGTATTCAAGTGCTAGAGATCCCAATACGTTAAATCATTTGTAGCCTATTCTTTTTTTTCTAAATAATAAAACAACGTGTATGTAAAATTGGCTCACACAGGTTGAATAATAATGTTTTCATTTTAATTAAGTCCGTAAAAAGTAATTAAACTCACTAAAGCGAAATAAGATATTTCAGGATGTTCGAAAAGGGAAAATTAGAAGCGCAGGTATTATCATGCAGGAATACAGGAATAGTTGCAATGATCGGTTCACCGATGCCAGTCGGTAGTCGATCATTACTCGTCGTTTCATTAGAATATCGACGATAAAGTGGCTTTAATTACAAAGGTATCGTGTTGTTTCCTGTCGACGAACGCGCACACATGTATAGATCAATGTGCGTGCTGCACGCATCCACGTTCCTTCTTCTACAACCCTAACGCCTTATTTTACATGTATTTCTACACATCTGCGGTGATTAGTAAGGTCGTTTTCTTAATTACGAGCCTATTGTAATAAAAATTTCAAATTATGTTTGTGTGAAAAGCCAACGTGATCTTTCATACAAAACAGAATTTTTATAAATATAGAACAATGTTTTTGTAGAAAAACATTAATTTTACTGTATAAAAATATACAGTAAAATTCTTCTAATTGTAGAAAAATGATACGATAAATAATTGTATCTCGCAATTTTCTACGTTCGATTAAATTTCAAATGTAAAATTATATTTATTTGAACTATTAATATGAATAATAAACCCCCTTTGAGATTATAAATTTAAACATAACGATCCTAAGGAAATCAAATTATCGATCGTAAATAAATAATAACGTAAATTTAGCGTAAAGGTTTTCCTTTGAATAAGATTAGTGATTTCCTTGTTGTATTTCTTGTTTCGTTCTCTCAAAGGCTCGTGTCGTGCTTCGATTCTCGATCGTAAAGCCGTCGTGAAAAGTGAACGTTAAACGGATTTTGGGGGCGTCGCGTCGTGTTTTCGAGGTTCTCGTTTTAATGCGCATACCATCGTATAAAACGTCACGTTTAATCCGTTATGCCGACGAAACGCGGTTATTCGCATTAGCGCCACAGGCTAATTCGTCTATAGTTGATCAAAATTTGTCGGATATTATTACACTGTAAAAGGTTCGAATATTAAAATATTTAAAAAATTAATCTATCATGCAGAATATTTCTACAATTCTAAATAATATTTATTTATTTATTGTCAATCTTATTTTTTCGTTGTCGTTCTATAAAAGTTCCTTACAAAAACAAGTCTTATTTTTTAATTTTATTTTTATTTTTTTAATGTTAATAAAATAACGATAAATATTTTACATTAAAGTTTAATCTGTAAATTTATTTTATTATTTCTTTTTTCTTGCAATGAATTGTTAGTTAACTATCATATGCATATATTTATTTAACGTTTTACGTAATATATTTAATATGAAATTATTTAAAATATTAAATTTCCTTTTTTTCATTCTCATTAGAATACAAAAATATCTTAATTTTTTTATTTTTAATTAAAATACATTAAACGAACAGTCCTTTTACTTTATTGCACCCTAAAATGCGTGTTATAAAAGACACACGCGCTCCACACATATACTTACGTTTAAATGTATAATACATAACATACACAATCATATACACATATTGAAAGTTGCTTTACCGACGGTAATAAGCTTTCATACCTACCGACAGAGGCGCTGCTATAACCGGACGGCTTGAATCAGTGAACAAGATGGCGACGCCCAGTGAACTGTCTCTCGAAGAGATTCGCAAATATCTATTAGAAAACGGTGGTACGGCGCGTAATCATGATGTTGTCAAGTATTTCAAGAAATTTTTAACCGATCCTGAAACAAGAGGTGAGTTTTCCAACGTTATTACGTGCTTCTAAATTAAGTGTTGTCGAGTGTATGTCGTATCGTGCTTGACCTCGCGTGAGTACGCCCATGTGATCGTACAATCCGTGTTCACGGACACGTATGTGTGTGTATAGGTATCAATGTGTTCGTTCGTATGGATATACGGATATAGCTATGTGCGATACGTAACATGTGTTCGTTTATTAGTGTGTGTGCATTGTTTTTGTTGGGTTATGAAGACGTTTCGATTTGAAATCAATTTCTTTTATATATGTGATATTATTAATGTTTGAATCTAAATATGTATAATATTATAGTTATATATATATTTATAATATTGTCTAACATTTATATATAAAATATTATAATATAATTATTTTAGGTTAACCAATAAGTCCATGCTGTTTAATGTAATTCATTTGTTCGAAAATAACTGCATGGAGTTAGAAGATAACCTCAAATATAATATTGTAATATACATACATATTATATGTAATATTGTAATATTAATTTATATATATATAATACATTGTAATATACATATCTTTATTATTATTTACTGTTCTGCTTTCTTAGTTTTTGTTCAGTGTTTTTGTTTTGATTTTCTTTTGTCAGTATTTGTTCATTTTTTTTTTTTGAGAAAGAAAATAATGTTGAAGGTTTGAAATTTTGCAGTGGAAGCACGAAATCGATTCAAGGAGTACGTGAATACTCTGGCCACCATAAAGAACGAGGAGGTAAGGTCTTCCAATCGCACTTTTCCTTCCGCCTTGACAGGAGCGACCTGTTGCGCCTCGTGCGACGTTGCCGGATCTACAAACAACGTCGTTGGCGCGCGATATCGTTTAATTCGAAAGTTTCTATGGAAATGACGTATACGTGAGCGACCGTGAACGTTATCAACAAATTTGCAATTTTACGTCTTATCTTATAGTCTTAACATTAGTTTCAGTATATTCATTTGTTAGAAAAAAAATGTACTTTTAGTTAGTTCGGTTATAACGTTTGGAACGTTTCGATTTTCATTTGTTTTGTTTTTTTAAATATTCCAATAAAAAAATCCTTTTGTTTGTTTCGGAATTTGTATACGTTCGGATAAAGTAATTTTAATTCGGAATTCATTTAATTGTAAATATTAAATAATTAATATTGTAAAATTGTTTAGAAATTTATATTAAATCATTTAATTTCAGGGTGAAAAATATTTGGTGTTGAAGAAAAAGTATCGTCAAGCATCGTTGGATCTATCCAATCCTGAGAATATAAGCTCAACTCATACTTCACCTAATTCACCTCAACGAGAACCTCCTCCTTATCGAGCACCTCCACCTGCACCCTTAAGTCCTACCTCTAATAATACTCAAGAAACAAATCGTGATAACGACGTGCATACGAATTTGGAAAGTGACCCAGATACGAGAAAACAAATTCATTCTGACGAAGTTGTATCGTCGAGTGCATCTTCACCCCCCGTACCACCTCGTCGTAAGGGCCAGGACAAAATTAGGATGGATAGTAAAGAAAATATCGAGAAGAACAAAACTGGGACTGATGGTGTTAATAAAGTAAGTCATTTGTATTTCAATTTTATTAATTAATATACTTTTTTTTTTCTTTTCTTGCACGCTAATTTTATGTTTTTTCTAACATTTCTAACATATTTAAACGTTTTTGTTTCTTTATATAATATATTTGTAGTCGTATTTATTTATCTTATCTATGTACATAAATTTCTATATACCAAAATAACTCGAAACTTGTCGAATGCTTCAACAATTATTATCGCACAACAAAATGAATGTAATGTTGTGATAAAACCAAATTTTTTTTTATACAATTTTTCTATATTTGACAAATTTTATTGGTACTTACGTAATAACGCCACCGCAGAAAAATTCCGCTAATGCGCCAATCTACACCTTAAATTGTTGCGACAAATTATAAAATAAAAAACTTTATTTAAAATCAAAACATTTTATTTATAAAAAGTAGTCAATCGAATTTCGATGGAAAATGGGCCGATATAGAATTTATTATGTCGCTATAACCCTGACGAAACTCTGACGAAACCCTGACGGTTGCTGTGTGCAAACAACAAGGTTGTTCTTATTTAGCGCATTAGCGAAATTTTTGCTGCGGTGGCGTTAATACGTAAGTACCATTTTATTTAATTTTATATATACATTTATATATCATTTAACATATATTTATGTATTGTATCTTGTTGATATATATTATAAAAATAATTTACGTATAATAATATACTAGGTGTCTCAATATATTTTTGCCACAAAATTTTATCAACATATTCTATAAATGTTATTTGGATGTAGGCTATTAAATGTTTTATTAAAACGTTATAAAAAAAAAAAAAAAATACAGTTTGAATGTATATATTTTTGTAAATTTTCCATAATACCCTATTTTATATACAGTATATTATATTAAAAAGAAAATTTAATAAAACACAATACGATTGTTTAAAAATTATTTTAACAAGTGTTGTGTGTTAGCAGAAAATAATTTATTATATACATTGATAAACTTAATTGTTTTTTTATTATACAAATGTATACTCGTTATAGTAGTTTATAAATGGCATATGCTTAATGGTGTAGTTTAGTTTTTATCTAAACTCTTTTATATTATTTTATTTAAATTTTCTTTTTTTTTTTTCTTTTCATGTTTGTGTTTATACATAGCATGGCACATTTATTTCAAAAGCTGCAACAGCGTAGAAAGAACTTTGTAAACTCGCATTATTGTGACGTATATTTTGTTCTTTTTCCTTTGCAAAGGATGAACAAAATATTCTTGAATGGGCTAAAAGTATTTAGGTGATTTGAAATATTAATTTATTTTTTGTTTTGTTTGTTAAAGTATTTAGACTAATTTTATATTTAAAATTGTAAAATTATAAGTCCAAAAATGTTGAAAATTATTTATTAATATTTGACTATATTATTTAATTAGATATTAAATAGAAAAATAGAATAATTACTTAAATATGAATTACTATAAATTTGTACATTATTTATTGATTAAACAACATCTAAAAACTTTTACCCAACATATATTTGGATATATCACAGTACGCTTGAAATGCATAGCTAAATCGCATTGATTAGAAAAATCCAAAATCCTAAAATGATTCCTATGTTTCTCTCAAAACTACATTGTACTATATTCCATAGCAATTAGATTACATGAGCTTGATTTATAAAAATTTATATCATCGCCTATTTATGTATGTGTTACGTCAATGTATGAAAGACAAACAATATATACAATTCCTATGTAATATATAAAGTGTGCTTTGCGTTTTTAAACGAAGTATGAAAAATATCCTAATTATTCTAATATTATATATACTTTCTCCCTAGGCATTGTATATAACATCTAGTTATTATTTAGTTATCATCAATTTAAGATCCATAAAATAGTTTACATTGAGAAGAAAGAAATGCAAAATAAAGTACAGGATTTATAAAAATAGAAATGTAAAAGGACCCCCATAGGAATCCTTTTATTTATATTACGTTGCAATTAAAACCTATTCTTTAAAACCTTAGGTTTAAAAAAAATTCAAAGTAACATATGTTGTCATTTCCGAAACAAAACTGAAAAGCAAATGAGAAATTTATTATTTGAGAGACATAAAAAATATTTATTAGCTAAAATATTTTATACTTTGCCAGTTTATCTTTAAAATGTTTAAGAAATGTGTTAAATATTAATCGTTACATACTTTGCATAAAAACATGAAACATTTGATATATTACCTAGGAATTGTATACAATACCTACCCTTAATACATTAACGGTAACATATGTATTATATTACATTATTTTTCTTATTAGATTTCTGTGCAATTTGTTCGTAGATTCCTTGTATTTAGATCACCCGAGTGTGTATGTGCGTGTGTGTGTGTGGGTGTATGTATGTATTTTTATTTTGTTTGTTTGATCCAACATGTCGTCGTATTTCATCTTGGTTGATTTTTTGCGCTGTTATTGTATTATCATTGTCGTTGCTGTCGCTGGTTTGTAGTTGGGTATAGTCGTGTGGGGTATTCCAATAGTTACTTTCTAAAAAGGATTCGTTGCAATGGTGATTATTGACGATACAGGAAGATGAAATCATCACTGCTGCTAATCCTGGATCCGGTGAAGAATTGAGCTTCCGTGAACGGATGCAACGTTTTGATCGGATGGCTAATGAAACTGATCTACATGGCAGACCTAACGGTACTACAACACCTACTAAAAAACGATCTGAAAAGGTAATCGATTATTATGCTTTTTTTTACATTTAAATTTTGGTCGAAGGGATTTCAATAAATTTCAGTGGAAACATTTTTTTTTTTTTAATTATTATTATTATCATTATTAATTAGTTTTTTTGTTAATCATAATTCAGGAATTTTTCATTTATTATAGATGTTTTATTTATTTTTTTTTTTTTAATGGGAAAGTATTCTTATCATTTTTTTTTTTTTTTTAATTATTTTCAATCCATTATCGTGAGTAGTTTATTGTAGAAAATATTTGTTTATTATTAGAAACTTTTGCAAATCATAATTTTAGAAATTTTCTATTAATTGATAGAATTGATTATCGAAATAATAATTTTTATAGACTCTATGAAATTTTGGGTTATAATTCAATTATATTTTCAGTCGAAGTTATTTTTATCAATTTTTATATTAACACAACTTGTGAAATATTATAATAATTATTTAAATAACAAAGATTTATTATTAATCGATGATCGATCGATACAATAGCAATCGAGGTGACGATTATTAATTAGTAGAAATTATATTTATTTATATTATTAATATATTTAATAATTATACTGTTATTATATAATACTATGTCGAAATATTTTTATCCTCTAATTCCTCATTGATTTCTTAAAACATAAACTCACAAATAGATTATTATTATAAATTAATACAATATTAATACAAATTAAATATTCTCAATACAGATATTGTAATATAATAAATAAATAAAAAAATAATAATAAAAGGCATAAATTCAGGTAATCAAATATTAAACATCCAATTATTCCGATTACTTTCAATTCCAAATCAGATATTTCATACTCAATTATCTAACACACTGACATTTGCGATAAATCGATTATTTCAAACACAATAATACAATACATACGAATTTTCATTCGTAATTAATATGATACATGAAAATTAACTTGAATAAAAAAAAATACAAAGAAAGAAATCACAAAGAACCAAATTCGATATCTAAATTTCTTCCATAAGAAAAAGACTACCTTTAAAAAAAAACATTATAATCGAACTTACACAAAAATATCTACATAAACGTTTCCGGTTGAATGACGATTGTAATCCAATACGAATAATAAGAAATATAGTCTCCCAACATAGATAAGAAAATTCTCATGGGATATAAATAACAGGTGCGCACCGCAAGATGGATCTCCATAGAACGGGAAGATATAAAGCAATTCCCTCCTTTCCTCCTTATATCTTTTCCTCCTCTCTGATCCCCTCCTCCTCCTCCTCCTCCTCCTCCCCCCCCATCACTTTAAAGAGTCACGTATTATAACCACCCAAGACGGAATGGATCGGCTGCTTGAACACAACTTCGAGATTGTAATCGTTCTTCGGAATCGTAGAAGGGTTGTTTCCTTCCGTTCTCCATTGAAGATGACTTTACGCTTGGTCGGCGCCTTTAATCGTTATCCTCGATAAACATATCAAAATTATGATGTAGGATACTAGCAATATACAACGATATACAAGAAACGAAATATAGGTGCCTATGTCACGTGTTACTGTGGCTTTGTTATAATACGTTGATTTAATATAATACTAAATAATTCAATGGAATGAAAATTAATTATTCACTTATAATTTTGGATAGTTGAAATTAAACAAAAAACAATATAAAATTTGTAATTTTACATTTTATTCATCTAATATTTGAGTATAGTATGTTACGTGAATTATTTACTAAGTTGTTTATTAATAATACACGAAAAAGAAATAGAAAAAGTAAGATTATGTCGTATGTAAATTTGTTAATTGATATACTGCGTCATCTATTAAATATTTGCAAAACTTAGAGAGCTAGATAACAAATAGAAATTAATTACGAAAATAATATCCTATATTTTAAGTAGGAACAAATCACACAAAATAAAACAACTTTTTCGTAAGATCGATTTAACAGTTTCGGAACTATAAGTGGACAAACATTGTGACACTGAATTTTTGTATATATGTGTGTATATATTCTTTTCTATCATTTCCTAATTTCTTTCTTTCTGATTATTTTTATTTGATTTCTTTTTTGGTATCTTTTCTTTTTAATATCAGTCGTTGTGTGTCGTGTAGTATATCCTATATAAGCTTTTAGGGGGGTTTCACTCTTTCCTTATTTCATTTCTATCTCTCATTCTTAGTTTCTCTGTATCTTTCTCTTTTATTCTTACATTAACCTCATCCAACTTCAACTCTTCCTCCTCCACTTTTAATTTTCAGCCAGAGCTAATTATGATTTATGGCAACATCGGCGCAACATCCTGATCGGTACGCGAGATACCGCCCGCAGGATATTCAAATGCGATGAATATTGCTCGGCTGCGATAAACTACGCACGAACGACGAGAGAAACCATGAGAATAAGAAAGAAAGATAGTGTGTGTGTATGTGTTTGTATGAGAGAGAAAGAGTGAAAGAAAGATTACGCGCGCGAAAGAAAGAAAGAAAGAAAGAAAGAAAGAAAGAAAGAAAGAAAGAAAGAAAGGATGGACGAAAGAGAAGTACTAAGGGCTCGGGAAGTTGTTGGAAAGGGATAGGGGGTTAGGGGGGTTAGGGAGGGGATTGGGCAGAAGCGCGTGCAAAGGATACGAGGAAAGGATTCCTAGTAGTCTACTCGGTATGCAAGATGAGCAGTCAGCCTTGTACACACCGTATCCTTTCCTCTTGCTGAAAGGATGTATATCCTTGTGCACCATGAAACCGTTCGATACAAAATCGACGATTCCACTCTGTTAAAGCGTTGAAAGGTAATTTATGCTGGGGTATATGTTTCAAAAGAGAGATAAAAATTCATGTTAAATTTTATTTAATACATTCTTTTTATTTTTCTTTACCTTACCTCAATCCTAAAACCTTCAACACTACACTGACCCATCCCTCCATCCCTATCTCCGTCCAGGGGGACAGGCGTGTCATTTTTGGTTTGCCTTTTTTTACTGTTTCATTTTTTGTGTTTTGTTTATTTTATTTTTTTTTTTAATATCGATTTGATGGAAGATTAATCGTCACTTTCGATTGCTAGATCGGTTGTTAATTTTTCAATATATACAGGGTGATTTTTGGAACGGAGACGGGTAATAACTTTTTTTTAAGTAACAATAGAAAAAAAGAATCATAAAGGATAAAGTTATACAGCACAACAAATGTCAACTTTCTATGACCATTACTTTTATTGAAAATGCATCGATGCACCCGATAGATGCAGTTGCACTTTTTTTTTTACACTATTCGATTCCTTTTTTTATTTTGCGTTAAAAAGTATTTGAGTGAAGATCATCGAAATGTCAATAGTTTACGAGATATTTGATGTTTTATATCAACAATATACAGGTTTTATAAAAATATCTTAAAAAGATTAAAATACTTAGCATAATATGTTAAATGTTATTTATAATATTCCTATTATTAATTATATTCTAAAGATTTTTATATTTTATTTAGAAAAATAGGAAGTTAAAAGAAATAATTAAAATGATTAAGTCATCTGATATAGACTTGATATTATTAATCTTTTTTTAAAACGCATGTCATTGACCTTAGAACGGACGTCAAAAACCTTTTTTCAGGGAGGGGAAGCAGTATTAAACAATAATTCATTAGCTGTATTATTAAAAAGGTTATTTAATAGTGTCGAAGTTACGTGAATAAGCCAGTATATAGGATAATTATGTATTATTCACACGCCACCGTCGTCGAAAAAGCGGCATTTCGTCTTTCATCGTACGAATTCGGGCGGGCAACCTGTTAATTTTTATTGCCCGTAAGCGTTCGGTTCGGTAAGGGATTTCAGGGCGCGTGGAGTGAATGAATCCTCTTGGCTCTCGCCTCCGGACATCCTGTAATCTTTCCCTTGGAAAAGAAAGAGAGAGAAAAAAGGAAAGAAAGAAAGAAAGAAAGAAAGAAAGAAAGGATGATAGTATGTGTGCTCGTTGGTAGGGCCACCGTCGCGTTTCAACCTTTCCTTTAACGGTGTTTATCATGCACCATGGCCACACCATATCGTTCTTTGAATTCATAATGGGAATTCTATTTTCTCGTGTCGCGTGCCGCGTTTCTTCCTTCTACTTGACTAAATCTTTTTTATTTTTTATTTTTTTTTGGGTTATTTTCTTTTTTTTTTTTCAAACATTTTCTTTGACTTTTCTTTTCATTTTACTTTTAATTTATATTTAATTTGTATTTATTATTACAATTTATTTACTTTTTTTTTTCGTTAACAAAATGTTGAACTTTATGGGAATTTTTAATTATTTATTTAATTATTTTCAGTTTTATGTGATATCATATATTTGTGGGTGGGTTTTGAATAATTGCGAATCATGTGTTGCATTTATTTAAATTTCAATTAATCTTTTTTAGAGTGCTATGGACGCATATATGCGTTTGGTAAAAATATATATATATTATCATAAAACTATTTCTAAAGTATATAATTTCCATTAAATTATATTTCTCAAGAAACATCAGCCTTAGTCAACTATTCTGACAAAGATTAATTGTTAAGACAATACATGTTGTTTTTACAAAACAACAAAATAAAAAATGAAAAATAAAAAAAAGAACGTAACAAAAACCATCACAAACTATAATAGAGAAAATCATCTAGGAGATAACAGAGCGTATGTTGAAGTCCTCGAGAAGTAAGCTTCACGAGGCAAGTTTGCCTTCGAGGGTGTCTTGTCGAGGTTGTCGCGCACGGGATCATGCAAGTTGTGCCCTTACCTCTCACCCCTTATGCACTTTCTCTCTCTCTCTTTCTCACACACATATATACTGTCTATCTATCTATCTATCTATCTCTCTCTCTTTCTATGTGTAACTCTATTTCCTTTTCACTCCAACAACCTACTCCTAGCACTTGCACCGTAGAGCCTCTTTGCATATACATTCTGTAAGATTACTTTGTGCGGTTTACACCCTCGACCCAACCCAAACCAACCCTGACGCAACTGAAACCCTCTCTCTTACCC